CACAAATTTTATGTAAACAAAACCTTTTTATTTTGAATGCGATTAATCGTTTGACAGCACTATTTTGGACACAATGTGTATGCAACATCAGTATATCTTGTATACCTGCAACCTGATACACCATCTCAACAAACAGATCTGATTTCACCACTTGAAAAAATTACAGTGCAGACAGTCCTGAAGCCATAATTGAAAATCATAATTGTGTGTGGTGTGAATAAAGAGCTAAAGTAAGTTTAGTCAATGTCTGTAAGAACACAAACCATACAGAAGAAATAAACACGTACCTTTTTCAACAAGAAAGAAATGAGAAGGCCTGAAAAATAACACCAAAGTGAACATCTCAGCAGTGCAATTTGAGCATTTCTTCCTGTAAAACCTGTTCAAATGTAACAAAATAATTTGTTATTTGGCTACAGGCAAACACACATAGGACAGTCAATATGCACTCTGTGACAGTAAAACATGATATGATGATATTCTTCATATTGTCCTTGATGCTCCCTCTTCTCAAAAGCTTGAAGCTTCATAAACTCACCAACAACAGCCTTGGGAATCATTTCTGTTCGAGCAATATTTCAACAGAAGCGGTTTCAGTTCTCCTGTAATCCCAATTATGAGAATTAGAGTAATTTTTGAGGAAGACAGGAGCCGTTTACTATGTCTGAAGGGGTTTTATTCAGCGCACCATGGTTAGTGAGGGTTTAACATTACCTTGAATCAGACAAACCCCAAATGTAATCAAAATAACATCCTGAAGAGCTTTGGGTGATGACAAGCATCATGGTGGAGCCAGAATACACCTACTTTCATTACCTAAATTGCTCCAAATTACTTAACACCCACAAACTCGATTAAGCTTGACTATGATAATAAAGCAAATTATATTATTTCTTACCACAAAGCTTCACAATTTCGCAGAAGCAGCTCTCCTCTTCCAAAACATCTTTGTTTAATGTATTTCTGGTTCTTTCACTTGATTTGTTCAAATTGAAGTGTCCAATAATCGTTATATTCAAATAATTACACATATAAGAAAGCGCGAACAGCCACTAAGTTAGACCGTTAAGTTATTCGTCTATAAATTTTTGTTTAGTCTGGAAACGCGCGCCGATTTTAGTAGGCTACACACACATATATACAGTGTTGGGGAAAGTTACTTTTAAAAGTAATGCATTACAATATTGCGTTACTCCATAAAAAAGTAACTAATTACGTTACTTGGTTACTTTTTATGGAAAGTAATGCGTTACGTTACTTTTGCGTTACTTCTAAAATCTGGACAGGGCTTGCTTGTTTTTAAAATAAAAAAAGTTATATTTTTGGCAAATATAAAAGCCTTTTCACACCAAAAGTGAATGAATAAGCCTCAGGCTGAAGGGAAAGTACATTTACGTCCGTACAGAAAAATGCAGAAGATGATATTTCAACACTTCAGCAATAAAAAAAACACACAAATGTTTGTCTAGAGTAATTTGTGCTTATTAGTACGGTTGAACTGGATCATCGAAGCTCAGAAGCAAAGACATTGGTTAATAGAATGGGATTAAATACATAAAGGATATTTGTGTTGTTTAACATTTAATTATTGCAGGTTGGTGTCATATTCTGAGTTGCATTATTTTTATTCATTTTGAGGAATAGTATACTGAATCTGTTTTTTTTTGCAAGTGAGATGAAATTAATGCACGTTCACATTTATTCTAGAACTACAGTAACATCTTACTCTCAATTTCTCTCAACATGAGGACAGGAGAGCTGCCAATCAATAAATGGGAAAAAAGTAACTGGCATTACTTATTTGAAAAAGTAACTTAGATATTTTCTTGTAAATTAAAAAGTAATGCGTTACTTTAATTACTTTACTGAAAAAAGTAATCTGATTACGTAACTCGCGTTACTTGTAATGC